GCTTTGGATGCTAAAGGACATTGTCCTGACTTCTGCTAGTGACCAACGCAAACTGATACTTATCCAACCGTTGGTCATTCTCATCTACAGCCGGCAACTCTGGGGCATCAGCTGCCTTCTAACCTGCAAATAGTTAATATGGTGCCCAGGCCTCCCCACTGACAACCTTCTTATTGGCCACACAATGTGATGGGCACGTCCGCTGACCAATAGCGATGAGTGGGAGGGTCAAAGCACCAACATACAAGATGAAGTTGATATTTGCATGCAGGCTTTGAGGCTCCGGGCTGCTCAGGAAGAATGCGGATGCCACGGGTGCTGGATGTGGAATACAAACGTTTAACGTTGTTACACTTTATATTTGCTTCTTATTAATTGTTCCATTTATATTAATACCAACAGGACTCCCAGAGCACCGCGGCATACATGGAGAGAGACACTGCCTGCTTCAAGCCTGCGGTGTCTGAAGACTCCAGAGGGAAGAGGGGGGAACCCAGTGACCGCGCCGGAGGGGGGGAACCCAGTGACCGCTCCGGCTCATTTACTTGTGTGTCTAAAATCATCTTCAGTTACTGAGCTCTGTAAACAAGCTTTATAAAGCATGGAGGTCGGGAACAATTAGAAAATGTTAACAGAAGCTGATAGCGCCATCTACTGGCTGCAGACTGAATTATATTCAGAAAGCAATACCACCCCTACCTCTGTCTACCCTCCTTCTCCTATACACCGATTCTGGATCTAGCTATGGGGAAAAGTAAAAAATAAAAAAGGAAAGGAGAACGCATTCGTTTTAATAAAGACTTGTGTTATAAATCCCCAGAATTCCTCCATGCCTGCACAGATTTGTAGATATTGGCAGAATGGAGATGAAATCCTCCCAGTAACATGGATGATTGGTGAGGGACTTACCTCAGCGCAGACAAGATCTGGGTGCACCATCTCTTCCACGCCTGCAATGACAAACACCACAAAATGTACGGCAGTAGCTCAGAGGATGTGGAAGGCATGAGGGTG